CTCTTGATGACAACAAACACCCACACTGACTTAATAATTTAAAGGAATGATCTTAATTTCACTCATTAATACTTTTTGTTAGAGCTGAGTAAATTAATTTTAAATGTATCATATATATTTTATAACAGGGTGGGACAAAAATAGATTTATACTTATTCATATAGGAGATAACACAATAATAAACAGTAATACAAGAATAAATTCTGTGTTTCATATACTCACAATTGTACCTCCTTCCACCTGATCTCCCTGCCCACACCCTGATGGCAGGCAGCAGCATGTTGTAGATCAGCCAGGGCCTGCCTTAGCTGAACGGACCATGGACTAAGCATTTGGGCTGCCCATAAACTGAACAAAACCCATGTAATTTGCATGTCAGATTCACCTGAGAAATTGGGAATTGGGAAACTGAAGGGGGAAAGTAGTTTACAATAGTGACAGAAGGCAAAACAATCTTTTGAGCATTGCCTCTATGCATAATTGGATAAAACCAAGCAGAAGTTATGAGAGAGCAAAAACTAGAAATGAGGGGAAAAAATGCCAGCTCATTGGTGAAAAGGTGAGAACCAAAGATAACCCCGAGAAAAGAGATCTAAGTCTAGTTTCCGGTTCCAGGAAGACTAGCTTCCTGAGAAGATAAATAAAGCTTATAAATTACCAATTAGTTGAATCTTTACAATAAGCCTATTGTAACTGCACAAGAAACCCCTCCAAAGTTAATTAATCTTAAGTGGGTCTCTCCTCCTTTTAATCAAACAAGTTGGACTGAAGAATGTACTATAAATGTGCACATTTTAAATGATGTCTTGGAAATGATAGGCTAAAAATATAGATGACACAAAACTTATTGGAGGAAGTGAATTTCCTGAGCCTCTTTCCCCATCTCTCCCCTCTCCCGCTCAGAGCATGGGGTTTCATGAAAAGCTTTAGTGATGATATAAAATTAAGGGAGTTCCCTCCAAAGGTCCCATCTCTGTCCACCTTGCCATGGAAGCAGTCTAATCTTGTCTTCAGCAGGGCTAGAATTAAGGCCATTGCCCATAGTTTCTGTTCCACATTAAAGTCCAGTACAGTCCAGCTTCACTACACAACCATTCCTTTGCCTGTGCTAATCTCTCACCTCTGTCCTCATTCCAATTAAAATTGAGCTCCAAACTTTTAACTTCTACTGAGTACAAATGACTTTGTAAAAAAGCTGCTATTGGGAATTCAAAATGTTACCTAAACCTTAAGGACTGTTAGTTGGTGGAAGAGTTGTATGACAGGCAGAAGTGCTAGATTCTATTGCTAGACTGCAACAGTCGTTTGTATGACAGCCTGGAACTTGAACACAGCTGCTTCTCTCTGAACAAAATACACTGCGTTATTTTTCATCTGCAGTGTGAAGAGAGAGGTATTGCTGAAAATGGGGATTACATATAACTGCGGGAAACAATGGCATTATTGGGTAAGCAGAGGTTAATAGCTCCAGCTTTGTTAACAAAATGGGTTGGGACATAAAAACTCTTGTAGTTGTTTTTTTCTTTTTTCTTTTATAAGAAAAATGATATTTGAGAAGTTATTTTGTGTAAGACAACCATGAAAATTATCATAGTGGCATGTTGTGATTATGTAGATTTTACTCTATCCATGGATAAATCATATTTAGAACACTTTAGAGTTAATAAAATAAAACAAAACTATTGTAATGTTTAATTATTTCCATTTGTTAAATCTAGAATCAGCTTTCTGTTCTAATGTATAGACAGCTGTTTTCCAGTTTGTGTTTTCAGAATTCCCTTTATAATAGTAAAGAAAATTGTGGTCACTGATTACTTGATTTAAATTTCCAAAAGACACTAACTAGATTTTACTATTTTCCCCTCTACTTACCAATTTACATATAGGAAAGTAATAACTGGATTATGTATAAAACACAAGTAAAACTCTGCAGAGAAGCAATTTTACTCACTCTTAAATTTAATTAAAATTGTTGCCTATTCTCTCAACTATTCTTATGTCCTTTTAATTGACATATTCTCCCTAAACCAATTTTGATTTTCCGCATTGATTCAGTCTCCTACATTTAGTTGAAAAGTCAATGTCTGCTCCAAAACATTAGAAAAAAGTGCAGACTTTTTTCTCTTATAACTAATTTCTAGCCATTTAAAAACTCTGCCCATTAAACTAATCCTAATATGTAAAGAGCCAGGGTCCACCACGACCTAAACATCCAGACAGATGACCAAACACCAGGCGAGGTCTGGCCGCCCGCGGAGGGAGCCCGTGGCACGGCGGTGGGAGGGAGCTGTGGGAACGGACCCTACCCAAAGGGTCCTAGGTTGACAGAGCCTGCAGGCTGGGCTGAGAGACCCCTCCGAGTGCATGAATTTTCATGCACTGGGCCTTTGAATTTCTATGTGTCCTATGAAGTGATCTCTAGAGATTGCCCAGCATCTCTGTCCAAAGATGAGGAAGAGAGAACCTAATTGGCCCAACTGGGGCCATGTGACTAGGTATAGCCAGAGGGCAGTCCCTTAATTCTGCTCTAGGGAAAGGGGTTGGGAAGGTACTCAGACATGTTTACTACAATACAACTTTCATCAACACATGTTCCTAGACCCTTTCCATTAAATAAGCATTTTTTTTTTCCTGCATCACAGGCAATTATAGTTATTTTCTGGAGCATCTTTGTCCACTTCTTGCTTCACATGTTATGCTCCAGTAACAAAGAACTGCTTATAGTTCCATCTATTCATTCTCAGTACCCATATCTCCTAACGAAATCAGTGAATTTCATGCCTAAATTCTGGTGGTCCTCTGTTTTGTAAAAGTCTTCTTTTAAGTCTCTTTATTCTTTAGGAGGCATGTCCAATGTTACTGCTTCCAGCAGACCTTCTTAATATCTTTATCTTCCTGAGCTAGCTATTTTCTTTCTTTATGCTCAAAACATTGTGCAGGTACATCCCTACCATCCTCAAGCTCCATTGCCCCAAGCTCCTATTTAGGTTTTCGCATCTTTATAACCCCAGACACAGTGAGCCTGGCCTATAGTGGGCGCTCCAAAATAGCTGAATGAATACATAGGTACTCTCAGTTTCCTTTTAGTTAACGATTTGACTATCTGAAGTCAAAAATGTGTCATTGCATGGAAAGTACTCTGTATGAACCCCTTACAAGTGTTAACTTCAATAAAGAATTAGGTATCAGGGAGTTCTTATTTAACACCTCTTCAAGAAATGACAGTCTGTCCACCACGTGAGATATGCCTGAAGTTTACCTGGTGCCCTATCTGGTTTGATTTCCTATTAAAACTTCTACTGGACTTACTGTCCCATCCTTTTGGAGGCAATGTTGATCTAGTGAAGGAATGGTCAGAGCATCTGTTTATGAAATTATCTTATTTTATCTGCATATAAACATTATTTTTCAAAGACAACTTCATTAACTACAAGCTGCAGTTCCGTGGACTTTCAACAAGTTTAATTTACAAGGTTCGCCTTGAGACATACATATTTTTCTTAGTTTTAAAGCCCAATTTTGCACTCTAGTCCTGAAGAGGTGACTCTGCATCTCCCAATTTAGCATTGAATGCTCTCTTCTGCCCATCTCCTCCCCCCCTTGACATTTTATCAGATAGGGCAACCTTGGTTAATCCTAAAAGGAAATTTTGCAAATGGTTAACTTTTGTTAATCTCAGGTTTTAAGAATACGGGGCAAAAGCATTTCCTCAGATAACACTTTTAAGCCGAGTCTTCCCTCCAAAAAAATTAAAAAACAACAGCAAAACCATTTAGGACCGCTTTTGGGTACACTGGGGCCAGGCAGCCCCGAAAGTCCTAATAAATGAATTAGCAATTCAGAAAGGAGACCGCCGAGGGGCTGATATTGATCAAGGTCGGCGAGTGTTTGCCTGCGTTTGTTAGGGGGGTGGTTAATTGCGCGTCAGCCCGGGCCTGTGTCGTCTCGCTGGCGCCGGGTGCTTTTTGGATTTGCTAATTTTCGTTAAGTGTCTCTACTCGTCCCCTGTCTACCCAGGAGAACTCAGCGTCTCCTACTGATCAACAGTCTGTCTGTCTGGGCTTTATTGATCACAGGGCAGGCGGCTCTTAGAGGATGCACTGGGGGGAAAGTGTGTGTGTGGGAAGGGAGGGGAGCTGAAAGCAAACCCGAGCCTCCTTCCAGGCCCCTTACTGCTCCCCGCTCCACCGCCGCACGCCAGCCCGCGGCTCCCGGCAGGAGCGCACGCCGGGGACCGCCGCGGTCCCTGGGGCTCCCAGAGCGCAGAGGCGGGGGAGGGCTTTGGAGGCGGCCACGCGGGCCCCTCGCGGGTTTCGGGGGGAAGAGAAAAGAAGGCCCGGGCTGGGGGCGCTGGCTCCAGGCTGAGCTGTGAGGGTCGGGAGATGGACACAGTGGCCCCGCGCAGGGCAGGGACCGGCGGGCCTCCGCTAGAGGGAGCGCGGGACACACGGCGCGGGGGCGGGGAGCGGCCGGGCCAGACACCGGCGCTGCGAGGAGCCGGAGGCAGGTCTGCCCCGCCCGCGTCTGGGCCCGCCCCCTGGGCGTGGGATGATTGACCTGAGCCCGTCAGCCAATCGGACAGCGCTGGCGCGGGCCGGGGGCGGGGCGGCGCCGGGCCGGCTCCCGGGCGGAGCGGTATTTACGGCGGCGGCGGCTGAGGAGGCGGGCGCAGCGGGAGCCAGCCGCCGGCGGTGTCTGCGCGCTGCCCCTGCCCCGCGGCTGCCGGGAGGGACAGGATCTCAGAGCTCTACCCGAGCGCGGCCCCGCGGAGGAAGGAACCGGAGTCCGTGGCGTCGGCCGGCCGTCTCGGGTCCTCGGCACACCGGGTCCTCGGCACACCGTCCGGCCGCTTCCCATGCTCCGGGCGCCGCCGGCCCCCTCGCCCCGCTGACGGCGCCCGCCCCCGGGCTGCCCTCATGCGCCGCGCGCGCCGGGAGGCGTAGGCTGCCGCTGCCCGCGGCTCCGGCACCGGCGGTGGCTCCGCGGCCGTGGGCGCGTCAATGGATCGCCATTCCAGCTACATCTTCATCTGGCTGCAGCTGGAACTCTGCGCCATGGCCGTGCTGCTCACCAAAGGTGGGTGTCCGCGGCGGGCAGCGCGCGGGGTCCCCGGCGGGCGGCCGCCCTGCGAGCGGGGATGGGAGCCCGGGATGGGAGCCGGCCGCCGGGCTTCGTGGGCGGCGGGCGAGGCTTCCCCCCGCGCCGGGGCCGCAGGTCACGACAAGTCGCTGCTGCTTAGAAGCAGCGGCGGTGGCTTCGCAGCCGAATCGGGTCGGTGTCCCGGGCCCGGCCCGTGGAGGGGCGGTCTGACCCCGGGGCGAGCGGTTGTCACGGTGTTGGTGTCAGTCAGTCTGTCTGAACCTAAGAATGTTTGCGCCGGGAGCGGGCCGGGGTGGGGGGCTCGGGCGCCGCCTGCCCGCCTGCCCGGGGCGGGGGAGCCGGGAGGGACCGCGGGCCCCTCTCCCCGCGGCGCCGTGCCCGGCGCGTGTCTCTCAGTGAGTGTGTCGCTCTCTTTGAGTCGGTTTCTGCGTTTGAATATATCTTCGTATTTGAACGTGTGTGTTGTGTGTCTGTATTTGCATATGTACCTCTCTCTGAGTCCGCCTTTGTATGTGAATGTGCCTCCGCTCAGGAGCGTTCCTCCCGTCCCCCGGTGAGCGTCTTTGTGAACCAGCGAGTGCGAGCCTCCCTCCTGGCGCGCGGTGTCCGGTGTGTGCTGTGCTGTGTGTGTGTGTGTGTGTGTGTGTGTGTGTGTGTGCAGTGTGCAGGCGTGTATGCTGTGCTCTTCTTAGTGGCTGGGAGGAGAAGGCTCTGTCAGTGGTCCCAGTTCCCACTCCCTTCGTATTGCACAAAAGCTACTGAAAAGCAATAACAAAGCAGCGCTTAGTTTATTTTTTCTCCCCTGCAGACTTTCACCTTTTAGTTTGAAATAACCCAAACTCCATCTAGTTCTCAAGGTTACCCCACCTACCCTGCCGTGAACTACACATACATTTTTTTTTTTTTTAAATAGGAAGTGTTGTTTAGCTTTGCACCCTCCACTTTTCTCTAATTGCCATGTAGCAGGCATGAGGTTAAAGGATAAGCCAGCCCAGCAAGGATGATGTGCTACAGTATTTATTTATTTTGGAAGGAAGGGTGTAATTAACCCTAAATAACAGCCCTCTCAGCCCGAGAGGGGAGCCTCCCGGTCCTATCAAAGGCGGGCAGCGCGGGGAGGGACTGAGGCCGACGTGAAGTCACAGATACCGAAACTATGTGCCTGATAATGATATAATTAGGGGATCAGAGATTTCTGACTGCTGCTGACTTCAAAAGCTTTAAAAGAAGCCTGCAGTCTCTCCTGTAGCCATCTTGACTAAAGCAGACATTTTTGTTTAATCACTACATACAGTAAAAAGTGAGGGGGGGAACAGAAAGAGCATTGTTCACTGCTTCAAAAGACCGGTCGCCTTTCTGGCCTTTTGTATGCCACAGGAAGAAACTTTATGAAACAGAAATATAGTTTCAATACAGTAATAGAAAAGTTAATTCAACTTGCTCAAATGTGGCTCCAATTTTTTTTTTTAAAGTCGTTAGAACTTTTCTAGTTACCTGTCAGAATTTTATTAGACTGTTTTAGGTCATTGAAAATGTAGTATGTTAAATAGGCTCTCATAAACATTTAAGCAGCATTTCACTTGCATTCAGTTTTTTTTTTTTTTTTTTTCTTCCTGCATGAGGTCTGGGGTGAATAGGATCAAAACAGACTTTTAATCTGTTTTATTTCAACCTTAAATCTCTATATGGGGTTTGTCAGACTAGGGACATGTAGTTATCATCAATCACATAATACCAGTGAGCTTTATGCAAAAAAAAAAAAAAAAATCATGCTGGAAAGAAGAGAAAACCTCTACAAAGCAAGTTCCTATCTTGAAGGTCTTCCTGGAGAAGGGTCTTGGGCCCCAGACCCAGAACAGGGAGTGTAGATACAGAAATTTAGAATAGCAGCAAGACCTCCAGCTTTGTACCATTAAACTTAGCTTGCTGGAGAACTGAAGCATTAGCAGCCTCTGGTGAAAACTGAGCATGCCATACAGTGGCCTGGAATTTGGACAGATAATTAAATGAGACACCTTACTCAGGCATTCGCAGAGAGGAGTCAAGGGTAGGAAGAGAGGTTTAGTTTCAGAGTGGTGGTTTCAGTAACTAGACAGAACTTCAGATTGGGAAGCTGGAGAGAGGTGTGTGCGTTAGTTTAATTTACAGTAGCTTTAGCTGTGGCATGTGACAATGACCTGGAGTCCACCAGGTGGGAAATCATACTAGTGATAACTCTGAGACCCAGATTAATTCAACTAGAAATTGATGTTAAAAGCCTCAGATCTTACATTGCAGCAAAAGGTTAACAGAAACTCACAAAGTAAGTTTTATAAAGGAAACTTTAATCACTTCCTGTAGAAAAATTTGAGGTTTCCTTAAGGATTTTTCATTGAACCAGCAGAGGATTTTCAGATTCAGTGTTTCCCCTTTTAGATCCCATGTTGAATTACATGTAAAACGGGGGAGTTTAGGGGGAGGAGAGGTTAGCCTTGCAGTTTTTACATTCTCCCCTCCACCCCCAGATTTATGACTTTCCATTTGGGCTGAAAGAAATTGACTTTGGCAAGCAAACCACTAATTGTAAACTGCCTAGTTCCTGTTTTACAATATACTAAAAGCTCCTCTGCATGAAAAGATCTTTATAGGCAAAGTTTGCCTTTTCTAGAGAGGTTGCAAATAGCTGCCCAGTTTCATAGTTTTAAAACCTCCTGACTGGAGCAGTTTCTAGATTGTTGTGTTTCTAGTTAATAACTTTATAAAGTGTTAGCTAAAGCTCTTAAATCTTGGCACAGCCCCTCGAGGTAGTAAACAATTCAGTAGTTCCGATCAAATATTTATACTGACAAAATAAAAAAGCCTAGCATTTTCATTTTGTATGGTCATGATTAATTGAGTAAATGATGTAATTTTACCTTATTGTAGGAGAAGTTATTATGATTATTTTCCCTCACAGACAAAAGTATTGTTTTTAATTACTAACTTAACAGAAACCCAAATTGAACTTTGATTCTCTGCTACTGGAGTGAATGCATTTCTAAAATTGTACTTAACTGGGTTGAAATGAAAGCACAGGCTTACACAAAGGGCTTTCCCAGTCTGCATGGTCTGCTGTTGTTGTAAGCACTCAGCTGAATATTCTAAAAGTGCCTTTGAGCTTGGGATTTAGCATTCACTTAAGCAGACGCATTATCTGGTTTCTGATGCAGTTTCTCATTGTTTCCAGGGGAAATCAGATGCTACTGTGATGCTGCCCACTGTGTGGCGACTGGCTATATGTGTAAGTCGGAGCTGAGTGCCTGCTTCTCTAAGCTTCTTGATCCTCAGAACACAAACTCCCCGCTCACCCATGGTTGCCTGGACTCTCTCGCAAGCACAGCAGACATCTGCCAAGCCAAACAGGCACAAAACCACTCTGGCACCGCCATACCCACATTGGAATGCTGTCATGAAGATATGTGCAATTACAGAGGGCTGCATGACGTTCTCTCTTCTCCCAGAGGCGAGGCCTCAGGTAGGTAGTAGCGCTTTCTAACCAGAATGCTTGCCTGATCTATACAGTTTTGTGACAGCCAAGACTTTGTATGTCTGCTATTGATTTTGTTGTTAATCTAATTAGAGACAGCAGAGGGAGAAGAATGGGTGAATGCACAGATGCATCTCTATTGAATAGCTTTTATGTCTGCTTGAGCATTAGATGTCTGACTACATAATAGGTTTTGCCTGTTTTTTCAAGTTGGAAGACATTAAAAGACCACTAATACTCTGTAATGAGAGTCTGTAAACAGATGTTTTTGTAATCTTTTGCATTGTTTTTGCAACATTTATTTCCTAAATAGGGTTGACTGACTTGTAGACTATGTATTGGGGTGCCTGGATTAAAATGGATAGGTGAGTTTGAATATATGTGTATGGGAAGAGTTAACATAGTTTTGCTTGTGCTCCTTTAGGACAAGGAAACCGGTATCAGCACGATGGTAGCAGAAACCTCATCACCAAAGTGCAGGAGCTGACTTCTTCCAAGGAGTTGTGGTTCCGGGCAGCAGTGATTGCTGTTCCTATTGCTGGAGGGCTGATTTTAGTGTTGCTTATTATGTTGGCCTTGAGGATGCTGCGAAGTGAAAACAAGAGACTGCGGGATCAGCGGCAACAGATGCTCTCCCGTTTGCACTACAGCTTTCACGGACACCATTCTAAAAAGGGGCAGGTTGCAAAGTTGGACTTGGAATGCATGGTGCCGGTGAGTGGGCATGAGAACTGCTGTCTGACCTGTGACAAAATGAGACAAGCAGACCTCAGCAACGACAAGATCCTCTCCCTCGTTCACTGGGGCATGTATAGTGGGCACGGGAAGCTGGAATTCGTATGACCGTGTCTTATCTGAACTGAGCTTCTTGGACGCTTGAAGGCCTTTGAGTTCCGCTGGACAGGAGCACTTTATCTGAAGAAAAACAAACTCACGTAATCAACTTTGAGAGAGAAAATGACCTCTGCAAACAGAATCTTGGGTGTTTCTTCTGAAGGATTATTTGCACAGACTTACATACAGTCAAATGAATTTTTTTGCTTTGAAATTATAAAAAGCAAAGAGAAGACTATGTACACACTGTTACCAAGGTGATTTGCATCTGAGGGAGCTGGAATGAGTACCTAAATAAACTAAAATGTGTTCTATGTAAGCTCCTACATCTTGATTTATTGTAAAGATTTAAAAATATATATCTATATTTTTGTCTGAAATTGAACAGTGTCTTGTCATAAATTAAAAACTTAAGTGGGAAGTGTAAGACACTACATGTTAACTATATAAATGAAGATCTGTTGCTCGGAGTAGGGTCTAACTATAGGATTTGGCTTGGTCTTCCTTTCTTTTGTTTCAAAAACGAGACCAAAATCTTGTTTGTTCTTACATGCATATGTGTAATTCTTCTACAGCATGAAGAATATCTAAATGGACTGCCCATCATTTATTTAAGTGTCTTACCCACATTTTTTGTTTGGATCATTCTGTTAACTTTTATCTAAGAGAAATCTTATGCATATTTATACCAGGTCAGGTATGATTGATCTGTTACTGAAGTTGCCTTAGCAAGCCTACTATTACTTATCAACTTGATCCACTTGCTCTTTAATACTTTTAAATATGTCTACCTCCAACCAGGAAAAAAAACAAACTTATTTTGGTAAAGTTAGTCACTGCCTACTTCTACTGTTTACTCTGTCTGAAACTGAATTAAATATTTTGGACTCCAAAAACATCTTTAAACACAGTGTTATACTAATATTTTATCTTATTTTTGACTAATGAAATTTTAGAAAGGTTTTCCATAGTGAACACTATATATCAATTGAGATTTAAATAACACACAGTGCTGCTAGTTTCTCTTCCCCAAGTGATCCTTTTATTAACATAACCAAACTTTAGCCACTAACTTAATACACCAGTGTTTCCGTTCCTGTAGGACTTTCTGTCTGGCAACACTGCCTAGCCTGAGTTTAAACCCATGTCACATTTGTGTACCTTTCTCCCAAATGGATTCTTTTAATCTTAAAAGAATAATTTGCCATGTAGGGTTTTCCCTCAATTCTTTTGTATATTGGAAACTTTTGCTTAATTACCTATTGCCTACATATTTGAGTAAGGGGTTTTCTTTTATGAATATTATAGAGTTTTTTAAAAAATGTCGTCTGGAATATTTTATGATGAGCATAATTTGGGTCCCTGAAGACAGATGCAGTAGCCAAGCTCATGGAAGAATATGAATTGAAAGGACTAATCTAAAGATGAGTACTTAGATTATTTAATAGTTAATAGACCACAGCCCAACTAAATTAGGCTATGGAATAAATATGCATCTTAATAAATGACAGATTTGTTTTGTGCTTTTTGAGATTGACAGTTTGTGCATTCATGCCTTAACAATTTATGTGATAAGTTTTATGTGTGTCAATTTCTGAGGGAGCCAAGGAATTGTTTAACCTTAGAGTAAAAGACTTGCTCCTTATGCCTTCTCATTTCATGTACAACACCATACAAGTTCAATGATTCTTTAATTAGCCAGCCTTCACTTCTGTGGAGTTATTTCCTTCTGCTTGCCCTGCTATTCTCTATTCAATCAATTTCTTCCAAGTACCAGTTAACAAAGAACTCATCAATTCATTAAGGAATATAGCAATGAAGGATTTAAATTCATGTGCTTAGAAACACTTGGAAATCCATAAACTCCATATTCCAGAAAAGGCGTGGGTCCAGGCTAAAGCTAAAATCACACAACTTGAATGGAAGGTAAATGAAGCGTCTTCACTTGGTTCTATGTTTCTTCATCTGGGCCTTGTTCTTTATACTGTAAATTTATGAAACTGTTTGCATCTCCCTTTTCTCTGGGGTGGTGGCACTGTGCCCGTGCTCTGTCAGACTGGGTGTTCTGGTGCTCATGTTCCAGCCATTTAATAGACTGGCCTTGTCTCTTTTGATAATAACAATCCTCTTCTTTTAAATCCTGTCATTTATTTAGTATTTGCACATGTCTTACAGTCAGATTTACGCATAACTTAGCCTTTCAATGAAAATATTGCAGGTTTCCCAACTTTGATTTTTACTAAGAACTAAATATAGTTTCTCCTTTTGCTTTCCTATGAGAGTGTAGAAGTTGCCAAGAGTGGAGATAAAGGACCCTTCATGAAATAACTACCTACCTGATGCAGTGATGTAAGAATGGTAATGACTGGTTTATTTGTTTTTCCCTCATGGACATGTTTACTGTTACTTTGAGGTGTCAGTACAAGGCTGGGCTAGCCCTTGTTTAATATTGACATAAAACTCACCCATTTCTAAGTGAAAATTTGCCCAAATCGAGACAAATGGGACCAAAATTGCCATGTTTTTGTATCTACATCCCTTATATTCTACCCTTTTAAAAAAATTTGATCTGAACATGGTTATGTCTTTTATGTTCTTCCTCCTACCCCCTTATTTTGAATGGCTCAGAGGCTTTCTAGAAATTGACTAATGTGTCTCTAATTTCTGCTGAACTGATTTTATTAAAAACACCACACCATAGGGGGTTTGACCTTCTAAAATACCAAATGTGTCTGCTTTAGAAAATCACAAAACTCTCCTCTGAAGAGCTCATAAATCTGTTTTCAATGTGAGTTGATTATAGGCTACAAGCTTGAAAGCAGTGGCATCTAGTATCATGAATCTGGAACTAGCCTTTTGGGGGCCAAGACAGCTTTTTCCCCTTATAACCTTTGTCTCAGTTCAAATAACTAAACTTCTAAAAGTTGCTTGGTGTGATGAAGCTGAGCTCACAGGATAGCAGTGTGATGAAGCTGGAGTCTCACAGCCTGGGTTCAAAGGTGTCTTTGTCCCTAATAGCTGTGTGAACTTGGGCAAATGACTTGAGCTCTTAGAATACTAAGTTTTGTTACCAATAAAATGGGATCAATGATAATACCTTACGAGATTATTATGAGGAAATAGTGGCCCAACTTCCCTCAAAATTTGAGAACTTGTGCCTATTATTAACTTGACTTTTTCATATTTCAAATCTTTGCATATTTGAAAACCCTTTAATCACCTGTAGGCTGGGTTTAGTGTTTTTAATATTTGCTTTAAATTCATTACTTTTAGTCTCATATCTACTAATTACATTGGTTTGTAATTATTTTCTTTTGGAATAACCTCTGGCTACTAATAGGAACATTTTAATTTGATATAGGTATTTTGTTTTTTGGTGTTTGACAGTTCTTTTAGAGTTTCAGCTGCTCTGGATTGTTAACCCATTGAGAAAACCAAGAGCAAAATTAAGTGACAGATAATGTTTCAAAATTGCTTGAACAGTTTGTGTCTGATGTATTCTAGACAAATGGTACCATCAATTACAATTTGCCCCATAGGTGTTTCCAACAAAATACAAATAGTTCCAAAACTAGTTTTAGGGACTTTGTAAATTTGAGGGTGGGACAGGAGGCTAATTAGTGAAAAATCGATTTAATTTCCCTGGATGAAGTTAATTTAGTTACTTTGTCACAGTTGTAATGGAAAAAAATAACTGCTCCAGAGACCAACTCACTTCCTTCCCCTCTACCCAATTCATTTTGTTAAAGTCTTCCTCACTTTGTTGACTTAAAAGGCAGATTGGTGATCTGAGAACCTGAGAGTCAAAAAAAATAATGACATTAAATGTTCTTTCAAATTTCTTCTCTTTATTTGGGGTACAGTTTTAGACTTGATAAATGTCCTCCTTAATTGGCCAACACAGCACCATTCTGCAGCTCAGTGATGTAATTAACTTGTCTGCCATTCCAGAATTTGGAGATCCCTGGTAAGCTGAGTTTAACCAGGGATTTAATTCTTGCAGCAAGGCAGCAATTTGCCAATGGATCTGCTTTGGGGAGTTTTGAAGTATTTATTACTAGAGGAGGCCTAATAGCCATGTTTCTGTAAACTCCCCATTCTATGAATATGAAAAGCATAACCAGAAAGGCATTGACCTCCATCTTGGGAGATACTTTAGGTAAGCAGTTAGATAATATCTCAGGGTATTTGTCATTTCTCAAGACCTAAGGGATTCATTCTGGAGGCCACTGGCCAGACTGGCCTCTCAGGGGCTATTTCACATTGTGTTTGGCTACCGTTATCTGATAGATTAGATTGATGCTAGACTAAATCTGAGTAGAACCCTAGAAAGATGAGTTAGTAATTATTTATTGCATCCCATGTATATATAGTTATGTCATGCTAGTCCAATAGTCTTTGTAATTCTGGAATAATTTTGCACTTAACCATTTTCAGTGTTAATATAAGTAGATGATGGAATTTATGAGCAGCTAGCAATTTGTTTTTAGATGTGAAGACTACACTAGTTGTGATGAATTAATAAAGTCAGAGACTGTTGTGTAAATTTACTCTGAAAGATCTCAAATTACAAACCTAATGGAACAAAAATTGTTTTAGCAGTTAAAACCAAGAGAAATACAGAAAGCTCTTTATCCTTCGTCGCTTCCTCTTGGAATTTCCCCCGGGAACTGATGAGGACAGTGGAAAAACACCACATTTGTAAAAGCAGTTGCTTAATTTTCAAGTGTTGGAATTCCAATTTGAATAATTTTTTACTAAATTTAAAGAATGTGATTTTGATACCATAAACTTCACAGTTGAGTTGGTTTTCTCATCTGGATTTAGGGATTAATCCTAGTCAGGCTTGGAGTGAGGATGGGGAAGAGGAGTGTTCTAGGATCAGTAAACTCTGAACGTTTCCACAATCCAAGCAAAGGAGAGCACGAGATGAAGGACAGATTAAGGCCTCTTGTCATCAAACCTCTGAATTCAAATTGTCAATAAATACACAAATGCTTCTTTCTCAT